TAGTTTTAAGAAGATGTTCCCTGTCCAAGTAAGTCTCAACGAGCTCAAACCCAGAAATCGGGTATGCGTGGTACCGCGTGCGGGCCCGTGAAAGTTTTTTTCCAGTAAGTTGCTAATTCAAGAGTCAGGAAAATTAGAAAGCTGAAATTTACGTGGATGTTTCCTGCCAGTTCTGGTGGCCAGTCTTAATTTGTTTAGCTAGAAGGATTTGCCGAAAAAACCGATGCCGGTAGCGACGAAAACTGCGGGGAACTGTGCAAAAAACAAGCAGCCCGTGCGCTGGCCAATTATTTATTGCTGCTATGGGACTCGCAACTGTCAGAATTCAAGACAAACAAATGCACGCCTATGGCCAACAAATTAAGTTTTTTTTTTTTCAACCACTTTCGGAAGTTGCAAATTACAAGTAATATGATCAATTACTTGTGATTTTCTGAAAAAAACATCCTGCAAACTACAAAAAAAAAGATGAAAATTGCTCTATCTTTGGCCGTGAAGATATGAACTTTTTGCAGCCTCTGGAAAAAAAGTTTGAAAACTGCTCGGTCTCTGGCTATGAGATTATCTCCCATGCTCACTTTCAGTTGTTTTATACGGGTTGAGCACAATCAAAATTTCGGGCTTAAACAGCACTCGCTAATTCCTTGACCGTAAATTCATATTATCGTCTAGTTGACCAGTGAGTGGTGAAACCCCAGTGTCATGAATTGCTCGGTCATTGCTTCATTGAAGAACTCTTCGTGTCTGGGACTGAAGTGAGAAGTAGAGCAAACAGCAATTCCGGAACGGAATGAAGAGCGAAAATTTAATTTTCCAAAAGTATGTCTGTGCAAAAGTAACTGCGGCGAATTGCTACCAGTAAACATTACGAAATTGTAAGCGAAATTAAGTTAGATTTCCTCCTGTGTTTGTGAAGGACAAAGGAGCAGTCTTGGCCGGCTCGATGTAGCGGTACTCTTTCAAAAAATGAAGAATGAAGGGAAGATAAGCTTGAATTACATGAAAATAATGTCGATATATGCCCAAATGAAAACAACGGCCACTGACTGACAGTTAAATATATGGTAACCTGCACACAAAATACCGAAAGAGTTATGAAACCGTCGCGACCGCCGGATTATAAATAGCGATAAACCGTTTGTCATGATGCCGCATATTGCGAGCTGCAACAGAGGTTCCACGGAACTGGGCAAATGTGCGCCCCTTTCCCTTGGATAACTCTTTTTTCTGCGTTTTTGCATAAACCAAATACGGACTACACTAAACAGCAATGAGTATGTTTGCATCTATTCGGCCAATCCAATCCTAGAACTAAATGGACCCAGCAAGTGGAATCTCGAAAATGCTGTCTTTGCAATACCAGGCGCTATTATAAAACTAAAATCAATTTTCAGATTTTAAATCTTGATTCTTGATTCACAGTCGATCCGATATTTTAACGTGAGGCGAGCGAAAATACAAGCTCAAAATTTTATGGGGCCTTAATCGATCGCAAGATGCGAAACGGTTTAATTATGCAATTCTGAATGATTTAAAAATTCTAGTGGATAATACAGGTCTATAATTATAAGCATCAGTGCAAGGAGCTTCATGGATAATATGGTGTTATTTCGAGCTACTCGAGGAATGCTTGGCTGGGAGAGGAGTTGTTACAATCTAAATTGTTCGTGGCTGGTACTTTTCGGTGTCATAGCAACTCAAAAACTTAACATTTCAATTCGAACAACAGTGTTGTGCTGGGAACTGAGGAAATATTAAGATGCAAAAAGTTCTGTTGTCAAAACTGATGTTTCCGTTGCAGTACTGTGTAAGTCCTTACCAGGGTGATGACGAACAGAGCAATACAGTCATCGCTTAGGTCGTTCAGCTCCACATTTTTTTCCGTTACGTTTTCATTCATGTCTTCCGCTTAGATAGTTTCTTCTTTACAGTCGTTCTGCGCTTAAAATTCACAAACATGATAAGGTTGCCACTGCTGCAAGTAGGAATTTGGAGGTTGGATCAGCAGCTGACTGACTCGTGCATATTCTCTGCAGAAAGCAGAAGTACCCTATTTTTTT